GAGCCTGTTTCAGTCTGTGACTCCCTCTCTCTCTGACCCTCCCCTGCTCACGCTGTCTCTCTCTCTCTCTCCTAGAAATAAATAAAACATTAAAAAAAAAAAAAAGAAAGAAAGACATGGGAAGCCATTGTCCAGATGGGAGTTACCTCCGATGGAGGAGTAGGTGCCCTGCTTGAAGCAGGCAGTGTACTCCGATGTCTGGGGCCACCCGAGGAGTGCTGGGGCGCTGGAGGGGGAGGGGAAGGAAATAGTGGATGGATTGCCTCTCTGAATTCCTGAGCGCTCCCTCCTGCCTCTGCCCTGCTTTCTGAGTTGTGGGACAAGTACTCTGGAGTCACTCACCTTCTTCAGGGCTACAAATTCATTCTCGGCGGTGGCCCTGAGGGCCACCTCCTCTTCATACCTGGAGACAAAGGGCACACGGTTCAGTGGCTAGAAATTTACTAGGCTGGAATGTGAAGAGGAAACAAAGAGAATGAAGGCCCAGAAGCACGTGGCAGTAGTCTTAGAATCAAAGAGTGTTGGCCTAGAGGGGATCTGTCCTTCCCACGCTTTTGGGGTACTGAGCCCACCCTGTCACTCAGTGCTCTTCCTGTTTCAGAGACTCTCATTCCTGATGGGGGCGGGGCTGTGTGTGTGTGCGCGTGCACATTTTGTAGGCTTTCTCTCTGTTTCTGGGCTGTAACTCCCGGGGCGGGGGGCAGGAACCCCACACTAGTTCTGGTGCCCCCCTTCTTCCCTCCCGCATCCCACCTCGGGGCTTAACACGGCACCTGCAACACAGAGCAGAGGTCAATAAACATTGGATGAAATAATGAAACAAACACAAGCTGGTGAGGTAGCGGGAGCAGCTCCCAGTCTCTCCGCTGTTTAAACCCCCAGCCGAGAAAGGAAAAGTCTTCCTCTTCCTGTCACAGTCTTTTTCCTCTGGGCAAGCTCCTCTGGCGGTCTCACCCAAATCGATCCCGCTCTGACTTCATCCCATTTCGTTTCTGGGGACCATGCTCCCGGCCGCACTCACTTCTTCTTGTAGCCCTCCAGCACCTCCTGCACGTGGTTGAGCTCGGAGGCCAGCCTCCCGCTGTCGGCCTCCACGCACTCGGCCTCCCGCCTCAGCGTCTCGATGTAGCCCTCGAACAGCGGCTCCAGGTTGCTCTCGCAGCACTTGCGGTTCTGGTAGAACTGCCACTTGGTCTCCAGAAGCTTGTTCTGCTGCTCCAGGAAGCGCACCTGGTGAGCAAGTTGGGGAGGGGGATGGGAAGTCAGTATCCCCAGCCCTCCTTGGAGAACAGGTAGAGTTAAGACAGAACTAGCAGCAGGGTGTGTGGGACGGACAGCATGGCCTCTGCCGGGCTCTCCTGGCTGGAGGAAGCACCGGGAGAATTCTTGTTTCACAATTGCTTGTTTAAGCCTGAGTGAGGGCCTGTTCAGGTGGGCTTGGATGGGAAGAGTGAGAAACTGAAGGGCATCGCGGTTGCGCTGGGTTACTGTTGGGCTTGGGGGTGGTGCCAATCAAGGAAGGCTTCCTGGAGGAACGGGATGTAGAGCAGGGTTGGGAGGTATGGGGTAGGATGAAAGCCTTTCACTAGGAGCTCCCGTCAGGGCAGGACCTAGGGTTCATTGATCTCTGTCCTCAGTGCTTAGCACGAGGTTGCTAAGCAGTGTCTGAAAGGACAGTCGAGGTGGGAGGGGCTCCCTAACTGGGGAGGATAGAGAGGGCAGGCTCTCGGTAGGATGGCAGGACGGCTTGGGCCTGAGGAAGGGGAGGTGTGGTCTCAGGTGGCCTGAACTCTTGTGTTAGATGCTCAGCTCACCGGTCTCTGGAGGCCAGGCAGATGATGTGAATGGGGGGAAGGTTCTGGAAAATGGGGAGCGCGAAGACTGCGGGGGAAGGGAAGCACGCGAGCCTTTACTGGAGGTCATTTGCACTGAAGATGTGCAATGGCAACAACACGCTGTGCCGGCCAGAGAGGATGTCAGCAAACAAGGCCAGGCCCCCGGGCCTCCATTGCTCCCCTGGCTCATACATTTGAGCTGGAGTTGAGCCACTACCTCGCTTTTTAGCCCCGGTATCCTTCTACCCAACAAGTGCAGCTGGGAGATTCCCTGCTTGGACTTCCAGCAAAGGGGAACGGGGACTGCTGATGTTATATGGGCTCACTTCAGACGGTCTTAGCTGACAGGGAAGTCACACACTCACCCCATACAGCTCTGGTGTGGAGAACTCTGGGGCCGAGACAGGGAGCTGCTGCCCAGGGGCACCCGGCAGATCAGGGGAGAAAGTGGATGCGGAGCCCAGGCTGCCTGTCGCTGGGCCAGGACAGCTTCCGTGCTCCATTCCCCGGCCGCCTTTCCCGGGTGTGGACGTTGGCAGTGCCCACTGAGATAGACCGGCTCCCACTGGAAGGGGAGCAGCCCCCATGGGTTGGACCCTCTTGCCCCAGGTGCTTGGAGAGCTGGAGGGAGCCTGGGCTTGGAGGCTGAGCTGTCACCCACTCCCTGTGGGCCTTGGACAGCCTCCTCTGCCTTATATCCCCGTGTCCTTTGTCTTCTGTGTAAACCCAAGGGCTGGTCTGGTGGCAGTGATTCTCAGATACGAAGCCTTCACAGGCTGACTTCAGGATCTGCCATTTCCTCGTACTATTTTACTCATGATTGATCTCTACGTGTATTTGCTTAGCATTTACACTTAAATGGGGCTTAAGCGGTAACTTTATTTTACCCCCATAGTTGTAAAACCAGTATCAGTAGGCATACATAAAAGCAAGTCATAAAACATTCAATTCTAGCTGAAACTGTTGTCCCAGATGACTCTGAACCCGAGGCTTGCTCTCTTTATTAAAAATAAGGGAATAGCAAGGGAAGACGTATCAGCACCTAATGCGATTTAATCTTAAGGACTGAAACAAACATGAGAAGAGATGAATTCTCTCATCAGATGTTTCAGTGTTAAGTGCTTTAATGCACCACCTAATATGATCACATAAAATATCAGCAGTCCCCATTCTCCATTTCCAGAGACTGGCCTGGGAATTCCAAGGTTCTCCCAGGACTTCAGGCTCAGGAAGAGTGTGATCAAGGACATGCCCCTTGTCTGTGGAGACCCTGCCTGTCCGGACACGGATTGTGTATAATAATAGTATTATCAAATCAGGAGCTGCTGCCCATTTCTCCGTGTCTGTCTCTGCTGGGGACGTTTGTTCATCTCCTCTATCAGAGTGGGAGCTCACCTGGGCCACACCCCTCCTGCTTCTGGCTCCACCCTCAGCGCCCAGCCTGAGTTTGAGCATGTATGGGTTCAGGAAAGGCGTGATCAAGGACACCCACCTTGTCGATGAAGGCAGCGAACCTGCTGTTGAGACACTTGATCTGCTCCTTCTCCTCGTGCTTCACGCACTGCGCGTTGGGGTCGATCTCCAGGTTGAGGGGCGTGAGGAGGCTCTCGTTGACCGACACGCTGGTGATGCAGGGCGGGCTGGGCCCGCACACGCCGCCGGAGCGGTAGCCGAAGCTGCGGCCGCAAGAGCCGGCGCGGAAGCCGCCGCACACGCTGCGGCTGCCGAAGCCGGTGAGGCCGCGGTAGCAGGAGACGCCGCGGTAGGGGGCGGCGGTGATGCAGCAGCGGCCGGGCCGAGGCCCGCAGGCCGAGGCGCAACTGAAGGCGCGGACCCCGCAGGGGGCGGAGGAGAGGCAGGACATGGCGCGGCGGCGGCGGCGGCGGCGGGTGGCTGCGGCCCGAGGCCCGCGCTGCGCCTTATATCGCGGCCCACCCGCCCGGCGGGAGCGCGCGGCCAACGCGTTTACAAGCTTGCAGGTCGGCCCTCGCGCCTCATCGGGGCGGGAATCAAAGCGGGCCCGGCCGCCGGCCGCCTCCATAAAACGGCTTCACCAACCACCCCTCCCCCCCCGCCCGCGCTTTATGGGGCCGGGAAACGCCTGGTCACCTATGCGGGCCGTGCGCCGCGGACTCGGGGCGCCCCCCTCTGCGCCTGTCGGTGGCGCTGGATCGTCGTCGGCTCGGGTCTCGGGGCTGGCCGGCTGGGCACACCCGGCTCCGCTTGGGTCCCAGCCAGGGCGCCACTGCCCTGCGGGGCCCGGCAGCCTTGGTCTCTGTGCTCATGGAGTGGGGAGCAAGTATGTGTGTCGAAGGGGAGGGGTCTCTGAAGTCGGTCTTGCAGATTCTTGTCATGACTTTGCACAAGTGAACAACCTTTCTGAGCCTCAGTTTCCTCGTGTGCAAGCTGTTGGGAGGACCTAATGAGGTACTGGATGGGAGAGCATTTAGGTCCCTACCAACACTTAATAAGAGCTCCATAAATGTTTGTTTGTTTGTTCTACCATTGTTACTTTGCCATATCCATCCTGTCTCCCTCTGGGCAAAAACTTTCCCTTCTCTGTTTCTGAGAACTCAGCTCATAACTCCTTTCCTCCTAAGTGTGGGCCCCCTCTCCTAAGTCCCCCAAATTGCTTCCTGTACCCCTCTCCACTCTCCTGGGAGTGTTGCATTAATGGACTGCCTCCATTGTGTGAGGGCTTTATAAGGCATTATCTTATCTTTATCTAAGGGCTGTCTCCCAAGGTCAGTATTATTGTGCCCATTTACCTGATTGGGAAGGTGAGTTCAGAGTGGTCCAGTGACTTGTTTAAGATCAAGCACAGAAAGCTCTATTGAGGAGGGGATTCAGAATCTGAAAGGGGGCTCCCAACCCTCTCCCATGCTGGCCCCAACCAGGTCTGAGTCTCTGGGGACTCAGTGAGGGTTGAGTTCTTCCCTAGGCGGGAGCCCACACTTCTAGGCTTTGGGCTCTTAGAAAAATAGGCCCGATCCAAAGCCTTCCCCTCAACTGGGGCTTGGTCATGACCACCAGTTCTAGAAAGCCATAACCCATTATAATGGAAGTTAATTATACGTCCAATTATGGGCAGAGGAAACTAGAGTGTGAACTCAGCAGGCAGCATTAAAGAAAAACATGCAAATCATCCTTAGCTTCCTTTGCTTTTAAATATAAGTTGTTATTATGCAAAGGGTAATTAAATCCTGGAACCCCAGAGATCTTCATGGCCTGCTCTGGCTGGCGTTGGGCTATCTGGCAACCCATTTTAAGAGAGCGCCCCTCTGCCCCCTCTGCTCTGTTTCTCAGCGTTCGTGTGGGCCTCAATCCCTTTAGTCTAGCTTTGACTTCGCAGGACTCCAACCCAACCTTGGTGCTGTCTTCTGTGGAGGGTGGAGTCCAACTCCAGTGTCTTGTGGTTTTACTGCCAGCTTTAGCTAGGGTTGCCAGTGGTGTTACTGATGGCTTCAGTACAGGTATTTCTACTCGAAGTTTCTCCAGGGAATGGTAGTGTTGACCACGTCTTCCCTTGATGTCTCCCTCACAAGAAGAAACGGAGTTACCCTGAAGCATGGAGGGTTTATTTTATTTATTCATTAAATTTTTTTTTAAATTTCTGAGAGAGAGAGAGAGAGAGAGAGAGAGAGAGATACAGCGTGAGCAGGGGAGGGTCAGAGAGAGAGGGAGACACAGAATCTGAAGCAGGCTCCAGGCTCTGAGCTAGCTGTCAGCACAGAGCCCAATGTGGGGCTCGAACCCCTGAACCGTGAGATCATGACCTGAGCCAAAGTTGGACGCTTAACCGACTGAGCCACCCAGGCACCCCTATTTATTTAAAATTTTAAAAAATATTTATTTATTTTAGAGAAAGACAGAGCATGAGCAAGGGAGGGGCAGAGAGAGAGGGAGATATAGAATATAAAGCAGGCTCCAGGCTCCACGCTGTCAGCACAGAGCCTGACATGGGACTTGAATCCACGAACCAGGAGATCATGACCTAACCTAAGGTGCTGCTATTTTGTTTATTTTGAGAGAGGGAGAGAGAGAAAGAGAGAGAGCAAGTGGAGGGGCAGAGAGGGAGATAGGGAGAATTTTAAGCAGGCTCCATGCTCAACACAGAGCCCAATGTGGGGCTTGATCCCATGACCCTGGGATCATGACCTGAGCTGAAATCAAGAGTCAGGCACTTAACCAACTGAGCCACCCAGGTGCCTCTAAAGCATAAAGGACTTGAATCAGACTTAGGGAGGCCCCTATGCAATGCGTGCTTGGACCCCTTTCCGGGTTTTGGTGGGTGGATAGAGCTGATTCTCCTGAAAGTGTCCCCAAAGGGAGCCCTTTGAAAGAGACTGTCTGGGGACTGTGGCCCCCAAATCATGGTTTCGTTGAGGGAGACTCTATGTTGGGCGGGGGTGAGAAATCTTGAAGGCACACAGGAAGGCATGGAGGTGAACAGGCAGCTGTGGGTTTTAGGAATCCGGGTGTTTGGAACCCTCACACCACATGCCCCAAGCTCATCAGTCTTGCAGCACGAAGTGGCTGAACAAATCCTCTTTGGGCCGTGGGGTTGACTTTGCCATGGCTTGGTGGTGTAGACGCAGTCTCCCTCGGGCCATGCCAAGGGTCAAGTATCTCAGGTTGCCTTGAAAACTTGTCCCCTGAGGCCTTGCCTGTGGATCCCCTAGAATGTTCTTTCTCTCAAAGCTGTCAGCGTTCCCTGAAAGAAACCATCCCAACCCAGCTTCCCTTCCCTTCCGAATTGTTGCACAAAGTGCAGAGTCCATGGCCTTGGCTGACCTTGACTCTTTGGGCGCACTCAGGCGCTCAACTGTAGAAGCAGTGCTGCCATCACTTCAGGGTTGTCTGAGGGTAGGGTTTTCCAAAGCTCCATCTTGAGTATGTTACCCCAGGAAAGAGGAGAAATGGCTGCAAAGTGTCCCAAGCCCATGAAGGTGACAAAATGGCCACTCCATGTGGTCGGGCAGGGAGACCTACATGGGCAGGTTTCTAAAAGTAGGGGCAGTGAAGGAGGGGTCAGAATGCATAACCTGTGGATCGTCTTGCTGTAGCTCCCTTGATGGCGTCCTCAAGTCCTGCTCCGAACAGGACCACTCAAAGATACAGTTCTAGCTTCACCTTCACCTGTACCTTGGCCTGTGACCCTGCTGCATCACAGCTGTCCCCTCCCCTAGCCAGGTGCAGGAGGAGCTGGGGCTACAAGGAGCGAGTCGGTGGGGAAGGTCTGCTTCCCTCAGAAGGGGTTAGATGATATGACAGCCGGGAGCCACTTCTTCCTTCACGAACCCACTTTGTGCTTTTATCAGCCTTAGAGGCAGTGACAGGCAGACACAGGAAGGAAAGAGAAGCTGAGATATCGGCTAAAAGCCTTTCCCCGTTGCATTATGAACTTAAGATAAGGGCCGTATCCCTATCATCCACCCATCCTGTAGACCTGTTGTGAGCACTTAACTCGATTCCAAAATTACACTAGGTGCTAGAGAAATGACGTCACCTCTGCTCCACTGTTCACACTTATTGGTGCCTGTTGCTAATTCCACCCACTTTCGTGGATTGAGGATCAGGCAGTCAGTTTATTATATTAGAGTAAGAACAAAACCAAGATCTTTAAAATGAGTAATGCTTATTTAAGTTAGAGAAATGTACTATGAGAGATGGGGGTCAGAAGGATATTTCAGACATCCTGGGGGGGAGGTGATAGGTCATGTTGGGGTGCTCTCTGCTCTCTTCCACTACTAGCCAAATCTCCAATAATTTTTCTTGTTCCAAATCCCTCTCCCTGGGGAGGTATGAAGAGTAGGTCACTTTGGGGACCCACTGCAGAGAATGAGCTTCTCAGAATCAAGCAGGCGAGTGGGTCTGCTTGTGGCAGCCCTCATGAGCATCAAGTACTCCCTCTGTCAGTTATAAGCTTATATTTTACTTCTACGCATGGAAGGGCATTTTCCTCATTCAACCCCAGGAGACCCACAAGGCAAAGATTCTCTGGATCTTCTTTATAGAGAGGGCTAGTGAGATAAAAGAACTCCCCAAAGTCACACACTATGTTTTGTTAGAGTGGGAAGGAGAGCTTAGTCCTGCAACCCCTGACTTCTGGATCTATGCCCATGACCAGCTCTGTAGGGCTGGAAATGGGATTGGACATGGGCTGCACTGTGACTGAGATCTAGGCTAACTCTGATGACATCGCCAGCCGCAGCTGGGCTGAGGCCGAGTCCTGGTACCACAGCAAGGTGAGGGGCACAGGACACCTGCCTCCTAGACATGGCAGTGGGAAGGATGCCAGGCGTATATTAACAAAGCCTCTTTTGTTTGGGGATTCTGATTCCTCGAGATGGTAACAGAAGGGCACACATCTCTCAGGTTATAGTGGCTGGGCAGGGCTGCCATGTATGGCTGCACAGGCTGAGCTCTGTACAGCTGACCAACCATTTGTGGTGTCTGAATGGATGGAACACCCCATCCTGAGCCTCGGGAGAATCTCTGCTTCCCTCAATATGAGGAGATGAATGCCATGTTGATCTGGTGTGAGGGAACCCTGCCATGGTGGAGATTAATGATCGGACTGCATGATCCAGAGACTGACTAATGAGGTTGAAATGCCAAGTTCCAGGTGTGGATAATCTGCCATCTCCACCACCCCTCCCCTCCATGCCGATCACACAGGCAGTGAGTGCCCCAGATGGGTCTCACCATTCATGATCCAGCTTCCTTGCATGACAAATGTCCCTGGTTGTGGTCCTTCAGGGGGACTCAGTTAATGAAGGGGAGACGCCTGTTCTTGGGGTGTTCCCAGCTGGGGGAAGGGAGAGACTGGACACTCCCAGGAAATGGACTGAGAGACCCAGGACCATAACCCACTCTGTTCTCTCCTGGGCCCCAGAACACCAAGCTGGAGACGGCAGTGACCCAGTCAGAGCAGCAGGGAGAGGCGGCCCTGAGCGACGCCCGCTGCAAGCTGGCAGAGCTGGAGGCCGCCCTGCAGAAGGCCAAGCAGGACATGGCCTGCCTGGTCAAGGAGTACCAGGAGGTGATGAACTCCAAGCTGGGCCTGGACATCGAGATCGCCACCTACAGGCGGCTGCTGGAGGGTGAGGAGCAGAGGTGGGCACCGCCAGCACTGGGGGCCAGAGCCTTAGTTGCACAGCCCTGGCCCATTTTTTGTTCCACTACTTCTCCACCCCCCATTTCTTCTTCTGCTCCCATCTTAGAATCTTCTCAGGGACTCTCCCTGCCCTGAGGAGAGGCCAAGGGGAATAGTTTTAGCTGAGGTCCACTGCCTGATTTCCAATATGCCTCTCGTATAATTTAGTTAGGGGCAATGGCTTGCCGGTAAATATTTAATGACCGGCTCTCAGAGGGTAACAAAAGTCCGATTTACACTGGTTGCCAGTTTCAGTGGTGTAAAATCTTCTGTCCTGGCTGGCTGTGGCTTCACTGAGGGTTGGATAGGGATGTGTAAAACAGGCTCTGTGAACTGGTTCCAGACCACTGTTCGTTAGAAGGTGGGGTAAAAGGAGGCCTCACACTGAAAGTGCAAAGAGCAAGATGGGTTCTTCATTGGAGAGAGGAAAGACAGAGTGGTGGCTCGGGGACATTGGATCGTGCGTGATCATACAGTGATCAGTGTGGGTGGGGAGGCAGCCCGGAGCTGGACTCCTGGGCAGGCTGGGGGATCTCTGTGTCCTGCTGCATTTGGTGGGTCCCACTTCCCACAGGGATCTGGGAGAGCCTGTCCCTTATGTCCTCCTGGAACAGGATTGGGGAGATGCTGAGTCTTTGGGGGTACTGCACCCCAGACCTTCTCCTTTGACCTTCTGGGGAAACTTGAGTGATTCCTTTGGTGACTAGGTTCAGAGCTGGGGACCACGTTGCTTCCAGGACCACTATCAGGAACTAGTGTTCAGTCCTAACACTGTCCTTGTGTCCCCTGCATCGGGCTGTGTGAAGGCAGCAGTGCTGTGAATGTCTGTGAGTCATTCTGGCCCTGAAGGGTAACACCGAAGTTAAACAGTGGGAAGAACGTTTGAGCTCTGAAGGTGGAGAGGCCCAGGGAGATGAAGGGGTTTCCTTCATTTCCTGCCCCCACAGTTACGAAGAGGGAGCTGGTTAATGGGTCACGAGTGGAGTAATTCCTCATGCCATGCCCGTCGAAGTGAAAGTCTTACTTTCTAGAGTCTTACTTACTAGAGTAAGAAGGGATTGAGATGAAACCACAAGATGGACTCCCTCCCCGTGAAGGCTGGGACAGGCCACAGGGAGGCTCATGTAGTCTTCCTTTAACCTTGGAAATGTGGATGAGCAAGCATCCATCTGGGTGGTCTTGGGTGGTAGGGCGAGAGTTCTGGTCCCCACACCACCAAAGATTCTGACTTATCATTGTCCCTGTGCAGGTGTGCGCAGCTCTCAGGCAGAGTTGTACGCGGGGATGTCTCAGTCACCCATTTCTGTGGCATCAGAACCTGTAGATGGGAGTTTGTGGCAGCAGGTTAGGAAGTGTGAAGCTGACAGGGGTTGATGAACACTGAGCCTCTAGTGCTCTCATCTTCCCTGAGGTTCCGGCGGGCTCTCTACCCAGCCTGGCCTTGGTGGTGGGGTGTAGCCCCTTGATCTCACCCTGGCCCATCTTCCCTTCTGTCCACTTCTCATTTCTTGTTGTGTAGGACTCTCTCTGCTTGTCTCTTGTCTCCCTGAGGCTGAGAAAGGACACTGGAGGAGAGGCACGGAGATATATTCTGTTAGAGGATTCTGGGCTGCCTGACCCATGAGGGGAACCGTTGCCCAGTCTCTACTCCTTAACCTTGCCCTTCCCTGAATTCTCGCTCTTCTCTTCCTTTCCTGAATCTTCCTTTCCTCCTTGCTATTGGTGCTTAAAATAAAGTCCCATAGTTCCTGTCATGCTTTCGATCTTTCTGTCCATTATTTCAGTCCTAGGAAGGGTGGGTGGGATCTCCAGGGGGGGCATTCGAAGTGGTGGGGGCTGCTAGGACCATTCCAGCTATTTATTTAATTGAGTGTCAAGGCTGGTGACATTGAGAAGGGGTGATCTGATGGCTCTGGGCTCTCCGAGGAAGTGTGTCAGTGCCAGGAAGCTTCTGGCCCAGTGTTGGCTTGTAGCAGGCACTGAGCCATGTGAAGAGGATAAATGAATTCATCTCTAAGGCTTCCAGTTTCCCATAGGGCATCTTCACTTGAATATTGCACTGATATCTGGAATTCAAAATGCCTTAAAATCACTTTGTCATTTTCCCCATACTGATGCCGATTCATCAAGTTTCCCTCTTTCTACTAGTTCCTCTTAATATCTCCAACTTAAAACTCTTTGATACTATTTTCCCCATCCAACGAGTCATGGAATCCTATCTTTTTCCTTTGAAAAATGCAACCAGGAGCCTCTTTTCTTGCAAAATGTCAGACTAAGAGCTCTGAAACATCCTTTTGCCATGAGTCACCTGAAATTCCGGAAAATATACTTAAAACTACATTTTAATGGGTCATTGAGTCAGCAAAATGGTATGGGAAGTTATGAAGAAGAACAAAATAAAAAATTCTAGGATTGAAAAGTATGGGGATTGAAATGAAAAATTCAATGAAGGGGCTTAACCAAAGACCGAAGATGTCAGAGGGTGGGATTGGTGTCTTGAAGACAGATGAGTAGAAATTTTCCAATCCAAACAACAGAGAGAAAATATTGAAGGAAAAGTAACAGAGCCTCAGAGACCTGTGGGACAGTATAGAATCATCTAGCATATGCATGCCTGGGGTTCCAGAAGGAAAAGAATGAGAGTGATGTGGAAAAGTGTTTGAAGGAGTACTTCCACATAGTTGGAGAAAAACATCAATTCACAGAGCCAAGAACACTTGTTGTGCCCAAGAAGACAGCTGGCTGCTTAAATCAAAAGTAATGATATTGTTTGTAACATCCGTAGAAGTAAAAGATCCGGGCAAGGATGACACAAGTGATGGGAGACGGGGCACTGGATTGCACTGTTGTCAAGGGTGACATGTGGGTTGTGAAGTGGGGAGTGTGTAGTGTTAGCTCTAGAACAATCACTAAAAACAAACATGTATTATAATAAATAAAACCAAAAGATTTCGATAGGATAAATGATATCAAATATTTAAAAGTATTTGATGGGAGCCATTCTCTGTCTGAGCTGTCCAGACCGGTCTACTCTGAGTCTTTTTTTTTTTTTTAAGAAATTTTTTTAAAGGTTTTATTTATTTCTAGGAGAGAGAGAGAGAGAGAGAGAGAGAGAGACGGTGTGAGCAGGGGAGGGTCATAGAGAGAGGGAGTCACAGACTGAAACAGGCTCCAGGCTCTGAGCTGGCAGTCAGCACAGAGCCCAACGCGGGGCCGGAACCCACGAACCGCGAGATCATGACCTAAGCGAAAGTCGGATGCTTAACCGACTAAGCCACCCAGGTGCCCCCCCCTTTTTTTTTTAAGAATTTTTTTAAATGTTTTATTTATTTCTAGGAGAGAGAGAGAGAGAGACAGTGTGAGCAGGCAGACCGGTCTACTCTGAGTCTTGCTCTGTTACGGCTTCTGTAGTGGACAGTTGTTGCTTAAAACATGTAAAGCCATGAGCACTACTGAGCATAGAGCCTGGCTGGCATTAATTGCAAAAATAGGTATGAACACCATCTCCTTTTTTAATGGACAAAAGATTTGAACAGCTAATTTACAAAAGAATATAAATAGCCAATAAACCTATGAAAAGATGCTTAACATGGTTATTCATCAGGGAAGTGGAAATCTGAACTCCCACAATCCCACTGAAAGGCCTAAAAGTAAAGATTCAAGGATGCGGAATGCCTGGAACCTTGATCCATTGGTAATTTCCAGCCATTTTGAAAAAGTTTGGTATTTCTTGAAAAAACGAAATTTAGGGGTGACTGGGTGGCTCAGTTGGTTAAGCATCTGACTCTTTTTTTTTTTCTCCTCCCTAAGCCTCTGACTCTTGATTTCCAGCTCAGGTCATAATCTTAGTTTGTAGGGTGACAGTGAAGAGCCTACTTGAGATTCTCCATCTCTCTCTCTCAAAAATAAATAACTAAAAATTAAAATATAAACTAAATTTATACTTACAAAAAAAATAAAAGTATTTGATGAACTCCAAAGAAAGCAGAAAGGAACAACAGAAAAGAACAACAACAACAAAAACCCCACGTGAGATAAATGAGAAACAAAGAACAAGATGGTTGACTCAAATGCAATCACACATAATTACATCAAATGCTCACGGAAAGAACTAATCCTTCAATAACAAGAAGACAAACAATTCGGTTAAAATGAGCAAAAGACTTCAATCAGCACTTCATAAAAGAAGGCGTATTAAGGGCCAAGAAGCACATGGGAACTTGCGCGTCATTATTAGTCATCAGAGAAGCCTACTCTGGGAAAAGTTCAACACTCACTAGAAGGCTAACATTTTTTTTTTATAGAGTTTTTTTTTTTTTTACAAATAGTTTATTGTCAAGTTGGTTTCCACATAACACCCAGAGCTCATCCCCACAACTGCCCTCCTCCATGCCCATCCCCCCCCACACCCATCAGTCTTCAGTTTGTTCTCAGCATTCAAGAGTCTCTCATGGTTTGCCTCCCTCCCTCTCCCCCACTATTTCCCCCCTTCTTCTCCCCCATGGTCCTCCGTTAAGTTCCTCCTAATCCTCCTCTACGTGCAAACATATGATATTTGTCCTTCTCTTAGAAGGCTAACATTTAAGAGACTGACAATACCAAGCGTGGAGCAGCTGGAGCTTTCATGGAGCATACAATGGTCTGGTCACCTCAGAAAACAGTTTGGCAATTTCTTATCAAGGTAAACATATGCTACCAAATGACAAAACAATTGCACTCTTGGATATTTATTCCAAAGAAATGAAAAATAGGTTGAAATAGAGACTGAGTACATGACTTTCATAGGACCTTTATATCTAATAGTCTCCAACTGGAAACGACCAAAATGTTTTCAGCAGGTGAGTGGACAAACTGAGATATAATTATACAACAGAATATCACCTAGCAGTGCAAAAGAATGAACTATTGATTCATGAAATGACATGGATGAGCCTTAAAAACCTGCTGAGTGAAAGGGCAAATGGGAGGCACAGTCGGTTAAGCGTCTGACTCTTGATTTCAGCTTAGGTCATGATCTTGTAGTTCGTGAGTTCGAGCCCCACATCAGGCTCTGTGCTGACAGTGTGGAGCTTGCTTGGGAATCTCTCCTTCCTTCCTCTCTCTGCTTCTCTCCTGATTGTGCTCTCCCTCAAAATAAATAAATAAACCTGAAAAGATTGAAAAAACATGCTGAGTGAAAAAATTAGACACAAAAGAGCACATACCGAATGCTTCTATTCATATGAAGTTCTAGAAGTGGCAATACTAATCTACAGTGACAGAAATTAGATCAGCGTTAGCCTGGGATGTGGTAAAAAGATGGACTGCAAAGAGACATGAGGGAACTTTCTGAGATGATGCAAATGTTCCATGTCTTCATTCAGTGGTGGTTACGTGAGGCATGCATCTGTCAAAACTTGTTGAACTGTATGCTTCACATGTGTGATTTTATTGTATGTATATTTTATCTCAATAAAATTAATAAAATAATGACTTAAACACCAGTCAAATAAATATGGTAGAAATCTATACCTACAGAAATATAAATATTATGTAAAATGTAAGATAATAAAACTGCCTTAACTAAATGAAGAGCTATGTCATATTCATAGATGGAAGTTTTATTATCATAAAGATATTAATTCTCCTTAAACTGACATACAGGATCAATGCAGCTATGATCAAATTCCAAATAAGGATTTACATAAATCTTAACAAGCTGATTTTAACATTTATGGTGAAGAATAACAATGAAGAATAGTCAAGGCACTGTAAAAGAGTACATGGGGGGCGCCTGGGTGGCTCAGTGGGTTAAGCATCTGACTTTGGCTCAGGTCATGATCTTGCTGTTCCTGAGTTTGAGCCCCACATTAGGCCCTGTGCTGACAGCTCAGAGCCTGGAGCTGCTTCGGATTCTGTGTCTCCCACTCTTTGCCTCTCCCCCACTTGTGCTCTGTCTCTCTCTCTCTCTGCCTCTCAAAAGTAAATAATCATTAAAAAAATTAAAAAAAAAGAATACATGGGATAAAAAAGAATGAATAGGTATTTTCCCTTTCAGAGATAATTATAAAGCTATTAATGCAGTGTAATATCCATACAAGAATAGACAAACTGACCAATGGAACACACTAGAAAGCTCCTAAATTGACATATATTTTATATATGTAATGACATATAGATTATGCATATATATCATATCATATTAGATGTGCTTTATGCATACTTTTATTATAATATAATACAACATATTTTATAAAAACATTTTATGCATATGTTAACAACATATTATATATGTTTTATGTGTAATATACATAATGAATGTCAATTTAGGGGCTCTCTAGTTTGTTTCATTGATCAGTTTGTCTATTCTTGTATGTATATATTATATAAATATATTAATTATATAAATATAATATACAACTGAAGTTAAATGTAATATATAAAGTTATACGTATATCTAGTCTGTACCTTTGAGTTATATATATAACTTTATATATCTAAATCTGTACCTTTGATATGCAACATTAGTGATATTGCAGGTCAGTAGTAAAGAAGGGACTATGTATTGGTTATCCACATGGAAGAAAAATGAAACTGGATTCCTGCCTTGTATTATACACAAAATCGTTCCAAGCACACTAAAAATATACATGTCAAATTCAGGGGCACCTGGGTAACTCAGTCGGTTGAGTGTCTGACTTCGGCTCAGGTCATGATCTCACGGTCCGTGAGTTCGAGCCCTGAGTCGGGCTCTGTGCTGCCAGCTCAGAGCCTGGAGCCTGCTTCAGAATCTGTGTCTCCCTCTCTCTCTGCCCCTCCCCTGCTCCCACTCTGTATCTCTCTCTCTCGAAAATAAAAACAAACATTAAAAAAAATAAATAAAATGTCAAATGCAAAACTTTAAAAGTTTTAGAAGAAAAAAATCAGTGAATGTCTTTTTTTAAATTTTTTATTTTAGAGAGAGAGAGAGTGTGAGCAAGGTCTAGCAGGGGAGAGGGGCAGAGGGAGAGAGAGAGGGAATCCCAAGCAGGCTCTGCACTTGAGCTTAGGGCCTGATGCAGGGCTTGATCCCATGATCCTGGGATCATGATCTCAGTGGAAATCAAGAGTTGGATGCTCAAGTGACTGAGCTACCCAGGCGCCCCTCTCTTTCTGACCTTGGTATAAAGAAGGATTTTTACACAAGGCATGCTGAATGCTTAATCTAAAAGAAAAGGTGGGTAAATTAGACACTAAAATTAAGAACTTTTATTTATTAAAACATTCACAAAGTGAAAAGACAAGCCATAAACTTGAAGGTGATATTTGTGATTCATATAAGTGACAAAGTATAATATCAGAAATATGAATTTATATAGGAATGTGAAAAACACTTATAATCTAGTAAGAATAAGGCAAACAGCCCAACAACAAAAAAATGGGCAAAAGAAAATCCATACAGATAACAAACACTTAAAGAGATATTCAGCCTCAATAGGAATCATGAAAATGCAAAGTAAAGACCAAAAATAAGACAGATTATATCATTTCATCATTGAAACATAGGTGCGTCAGAGAAGATACGAAATCTTTTATATATTGTTGATCAAAGTATAAATAGGTATAAAAGACTTTGGCAAATTGGGGCGCCTGGGTGGCTCAGTTGGTTAAGCGTCCGACTGTGGCTCAGGTCATAATCTCACCACTCGTGGGTTCGAGTCCAGAGTCGGGCTCTGTGCTGACAGCTCAGAGCCTGCAGCCTGCTTCAGATTCTGTGCCTCCTCTCTCTCTGCTTCTCCCCCACTCGCACTCTATCTCTCTCTCAAAAATGAATAAATGTTTAAAAAAATTTTTAAGGGGTGCCTGGCGACTCAGTCAGTTAAGCGTCCGACTTTGGCTCAGGTCGTAATCTCACGTTGAACCCTGCATCGGGCTCTGTGCAGACAGCTAGTTCAGAGCCTGGAGCCTGTTTTGGATTCTGTGTCTCCCTCTCTCTCTGACCCTCCCCTGTTCATGCTGTCTCTCTCTCTCAGAAATAAATAAAACATTTAAAAATTTTTAAAAAAAAATTTAAAAAAAGACTTTGGCAAATAATTTTTGTGTTGTAATATTCACTATTTGATTCAGAAATACCAGCCCCAGATAAGATATGTATCACAGAAAAGTCCTCACAGACGTCCATCGGGGACATTTAGAAAACTGTTCCTAGCCCCAACCTGGTAAGAGAAAACAGAATAAAACAGAAATAAAATTACATAAAGTGCCTTGTATTCACATAATAGAATACTATGAATCCTAGTGGATGACCCTTAGTTCCATAATATTAAAAAAAAACCCCTTTGGAAGTGATATACTTTAAAAGCCTAAAACCCCAAACCAAAACCCAACCAAACAAGAAAAACTAATAATAATAATAATAATAATAATAATGTTTTGCAGCACATGCATGATGTCATCAAACTAGAAGAAAAAGCAAGGGAATGAGGAGAAATTCAAGGAAGTGGTCCTTCCCCCCCAGAGCACCTGGGTGGCTTAGTCGGTTATGCATCTGGCTCAGGTCATGATCTCATAGCTCGTGGGTTTGAGCCTAGAGTCAGGCTCTGTGCTGACAGCTCAAAGCCTGGAGCCTGCTTCAGATTCTGTGTCTCCCTCTCTCTCTGCCCCTCCCCACTCATACTCTTTCTCTCTTTGTCTCTCAGAAATGAATAAAAATGTTAAAAAAAACACCCATCCTTTTGCCAAAATACGACAGCAGATATGTACCTAAAGGTTCACACCGGCGTTGTTTGTTAGAACAAAAACAAAAGTACACATATATCTACCCACAAGGGAATGGAAAAGTAATCACACACTGGGATACTGTGCAGCAGTGACAAATAAACTAAGCTGTAGGCATCAAAATCTCACATATAGAATGTCGGGGAGGGAAAAGCAAGTCATAAAAACAACATAATTCTATTTTTATAAAGCTCAAAGGTAGGCAAAACTGAACAAATACTGGGGGATTCATGCACACGAGAATAAAGAAAAGCAAAGGAATGCTTAATACAAACCCCAGGAGAGTGGTTACTTTGGAGATTGGAAGGGATCAGGCACAGAGAATTCTGTGATCATGAAGGGTCCCACATGGGGCTTCGAAGGTACTGGTGGGTACACACGGATTTGTTTTTACTACTGCTGCTGTTTAAATCATTAAATGTAGGTTACACACACATTCTTTTGCATGTCTGACAAGTTGATAAAACAAAAAGAAAATGCTGATCGGTGCGTGCTGTCTGGTCCCTGGCTACTCCTGTAGTTTTGAGGCCCCGTCCCATCCCAGATTGCCTACCTAGTCTTGGCACTGAAACCCCAGCCCCAGGGTCTCTCCCTCCTGTTTGCCTGCCCACTGTTACCAGAAAGGCCTTCCTAAACTGCATCGCACACCAGGGTGGTGGTCTGCTCAAGCACCTTCTGTGACTCCCCATTTCTCACTCCATAAGCCCAAACTCCTTGGCTCTGTACATTCCCCCCACCAGAAGGACCTTTCCTTCCTTCTCTTCCTCCTGCCTTCAAGGCCCATTCCAGCCCAGGGACTGCCACTCTCCCACGTGGGCTGACAGAACAGCCCCTTCTGGCCCCTGTCAGAACTCTGCAAGGTGAGGTCACAAAGCCCCCTGGGAAGGAGTGGCTTTGTCCCCAGAGGCGAGGATTCTGGGAGCTCCCTGGGCTGGAGCTGGGCTTAGGTGCTCCCTGGAGGCTTGGAAAGACAACAGCTCTCTTCATCATGGTGAGGTTTGTCTACATGGCACATCGGGTCACATGGGATGAGGGGTCTTGGACTCTGCCCAGGTCTGTTGGACAAGCCAGGCACAAGCTTGCCTGCCATGTCTACAGCTTTTGGGAATGGGAGCCAGAAAGGGTGGGCTGTGGGAGTCTGTTCATATCCATTTCCCATACCCCATCTGCCCTGGAAAGCACCTCGCACTGGGCTTGGTGTGAATAGTTCCTGTTCTATGGGCTGAAGAGCGTGTGTGACTTTATGTTCCTCGGGGTGTAGAGCAAAGAACGTGGGCTTAAGACACAGTCTAGCTCAGCTCTTGACTGGCAGGGTCACTCATGTCCCACTGGGTCCCTACTTCCTTGGATAGTAGCTGTAATGAGCTTCAGCTTGCCCAAGGAAAGATAATGGAGACAGTAACACCCACCTGGCCCACTTCACAGATGGTCATGAGCCCAGGTGAGACGGTGGAGATAAGAGACCTTGAAGAGAATAAGGCTCTGTGTGTCAGTTACCGAGCCCAGGCTGTTTATGGGTGGGTGTGTGGGGACAGGTGCAGGAAAGGGAAAAGACCCCCTGATTTTGTCCCTTCTAGATAGCTCTCCCCATAGTGGCCTTGGGTTTAGCGAAGGAGCTGGAATCTGGATCCCTGGGTCCCTGGATTCATCAAGTTAAGGGAGTTTCTTCATATTCTGAGATTTTCAAAAGTATTTTTAAAATTAGGAATCACTGTTGGGTTTTTAAAAATGGTTTTTGTATTAACTGACATGATCATATGTGAATGACTATAACTGATTTGCTAGAGGTTGGCTACTCTCATGCCTGGGATAAACTCTGTGTGATCACAGTCCAAAGACTTAACAGATCTGCCAGTGTGCCTGCCAAGCGCATTTTTATTGTCTCATCAACCCTTGGCAATAGAAAAGATGATCATCCCCATTTTCCAGATAGAGAAACAGAGGCCCAGAGAAGTTAGATGATCTGCTCGTGACGGAAGGTGGATGGGCTGGTACTGGAGCCGTGCTGTTGGTTTCAGCTGGGTGCCCTTCTTGGCTGTCCTCCTCTCCTGACCCTCCCCCGTTCTGTGTTGCCTCTGTCCCACAGTGCGAGGAAATACAGTCGCCCATGCAGAAACACACGCAGGGCCTGAGGCACAGCAAGGAGGAGTTGAACAGGCTTAACGAGGCCATCCAGCGGCTGACAGCGGAGGTGAGCAGCGCTGAGAGTCAGGTGAGGGGTGTGTTGGGGGGGAGGGGGTGGGCGCACCGGAATGATGAATGGTGGGACAGTGTCCATTATCTATGACAACTGGACTAGTCATTCCCCATCCTCTGGAATAGATGGGTGGAGTTTCTCCCCGTGACTGTCCGAACAACCAGAAGTGTGGCTGTACACGTGTACATCATGCCGCCTTTGCCTAGGACTCTGTATTTCATGTGGGCATGTAATTAACATGTAGGTAAATATGTATAAATATGTACGCTTGTTTGCCTATGCGCATGTGCAGTTTTGTATCTGTGTGTTTTGTTTGTCCTACATAGCATTAAACTTGAGCCCGTCTCTGGAAATCGCAAGATTTTATGGAGAAATCCAGTTTTCTGGGTTCTCTTTAAAAAATGCACGGATCTGGCCACATTCGGCTAGGGAAGGGAGGCTCTGTCTTCTCCGTCGCCTTCACCCAAGGTCATGCTCCTTTTGCTTGCATCGACCCCACAACCCCAAGCTGCGTCCTTTGATACAGAGACAGAGGGCTCTTGCCATTTCTCGAATCTTGGCTGGTGCTGTTATTATCTATCCTTGTGGAAGACAAAAGGTACCACGCCCGTGTCTCTAAATGAGAGATGTGAGAGACTGAAAACGAGGCAGAGGTCCTGGTGATTGCGGGAGACTGAGAATGTGCACATTTCTTTCTGGAACCAAATACTGTGGCTATAGAGTTAACATTTGGCCTTTCCCTTCGGATGCCTGCAGCCAGGTCTCTGTAGGCATTCGGGTTTGCAGCTCAGGCCCTGGGCCTTAGAAAGGAGAGGTTCCCACATGGATGTTTTCTTTCTTCCGACTTCTCTGCCTCTCAACCTCCCCTCTCTCCTCCCAGCAGCTGCCCTGTCAAGCTCTCCACACCGCCCCCCCGCCCCCACCTCCCCTGGGCTCATGCTCTGTCTGTAGAAGGAAGGGATTCTGCTCCCTGTTTCCCCTGCTTTCCGTGGACACAAGTGTCTGAGGCTCTGAGGGGTCCTTCCTTCTTCAGGCTGTGAGGAGGGACAAGCTATTCAGGTTTCAGGGGGGGGCAGAGCGAATGGGTGGCCCTGTCACGGTTCAGTCTGCCACCAGCCTCCGTTGTTCTGATCCTTGCCCCCCCTCCCCGCCCCCAGTTTCCTAAGCAGCAAGCACAGCTCACCAAGGCGAGCATTTATTATTGTTATATTTCCGCAGAGACTACAGATGCTAGTTTCTTGGGAGGAAATCCGTTTCCTCCTGTTAGCATCCCTGATGAAACCATAAACCTAGCATTATGTGCGCAGGAGCATTTGATGCTTCCTGGAACATAGAGTCACCATATGTGGTGACTTTCAGAAGAGTCACCATACTAGATATGAAAGGCACTCTCCCCTGCCATCCCAGATGGCTGGTCCCAAACCTCCACACTGGGAGCCAGGAAGTCACACAAACACATTTTTTTGGAACGGGCAGGCCCATTCCTTACAGCGATCTCTAATCCCTCACTGGGCTTCCAGCCTCCAAGAAGGGTCTGGATCCTTGATAGGGGTGAGGGTGGGGGCCAAGGATGTCCTGTCCGTGCTCTTCCCTTCGCCCCTCAGCCCTGTGAACTAGACCGAGCCAGAGAGCCGCCAGCTCTGCAGGAGGAGATTGCCTCAGACAGCGCCCAGGGCAAGCTGGCCTGGCTGGAGGCCGCCCTGCAGCGAGCCAAGCAGGACATGGCGCGGCAGCTGCGGGAGTACCAGGAGCTCATGATTGTCAAGCTGGGCCTGGACTTTGAGATCGCCACCTATCGCAAGCTGCTGGGCGGTGAAGAGAGCAGGTGGGGGTTGGGTGGTGCTTTGGGTGTGGCCACAGTGAGGAGAGCAGGGGCACAGGGAGGTCACCATCTGGGTCCTCACTGGCTAGGGAGGGGTGGAGAGAGATGACCTGGGACTCCAGGGCCTTGTTCTCCCGCAGCCAATTTCTCCCCACCAGCTTAGGGCCCTTTAGACAAAAAGGTGGAGCTAACAAGCACCCCTGACACCTGGGACGGGATGACACATGGTCATTCACCCCCCAGGGGCAGGGGCCAGTCTGTCCATTGAGGCAGCTGCAAGGACCAGGGCCCAATCAGGGGGAATGAGGTCCCCAGTTTGGAATGCCTTCTCAATTCTGCCCCCTTTTTTTAAAAAAATATTTTTATTGTTTGTTTGTTTTTTTAAAAATTTCTGAGAGAGAGAGAGAGAGAGAGAGAGAGAGGGAAAGAGAGAGACAGCGTGAGCAGGGGAGGGTCAGAGAGAGAGAGAGGGAGATACAGACTCCGAAACAGGCCCCAGGCTACGAGCTAACTGTCAGCACAGAGCCCGACGTGGAGCTCGAACCCACGAACTGTGAGATCATGACCTGAGCTGAAGTCGAATGCTCAACTGACTGAACCACCCAGGCGCCCCTCAATACTGCCCTTCTTGCCCCAAAGGTAGGGTTTATGGGAACAGGCAAGGGTCTGGCTTTTAACCTTAGCAGGAGAGACCCAAGGGCTGCTGGCTCCAGCTGGGTACTGTAGGCTGAGGGGAGGGAAAGGGAGCCCGCCATGCAACAGGCATGCTGCATTTATTATCTTTCAATCCCACAGCCCCCCTGGGATGGAGTGCTGTCACCCCCATTTTACAGATGGGGAAACTGAGTCTCAGGGTAAAGAACCTCCTCAAGGACCCACAGGTAGAAACTGATAGGTTGAGGCCTGACCAATGTTCTCCTCTACAGTGTCCTTTAAAATGTTCCCTTCATCATCTCTCCTTTTAGGCTACCTCTAGGCCAAAGAAAGTATCTTTAGCCTTCTCCCTCCTCCAAGAGGTCATCAATAAAACTGAACTATCTGAATTTAAGGAGGAAGGATTGAGTTTAAGATCCAGAGGAGTCTGATGGGAAAGGGCTCCGGGGATCTGAGCGAACAGGGGGCAAGTAGGAAGGACAGATCTCTGCCTGTCCGGGCAGGAGGGCCAGGAGAGTTTTGTTTTGGAGAATGGGGATTACTATACCCAGGAGGTATGTTCACTCACCTGCTTCCTCCTTCTCTCCGCAGGCTTGGCCTGGGATTTGGAGCAGGGAGCTTCAGTAAGTAAATAATAGACATAGCTTGGGTTAGAGGAGTTAAATCTTAACTCCCACGTTCCTTTGTGTGCATTCTCTTGGGAAGGGAGAAGGGATCTGCTTCTGCTCTGTGTGTCTCCCTTCTGTGGAAGACTGTTTTTTCTCTCGGGGTGATTTTTGTGTGTGCTGGGGGAGGAGATCTTGTGGTCTGTCTTTTGGGGGCAGGTTCTGTTGGTTTGTCTTGGGGTTCGGGAGGAGGTTCTGTGGGTCTGTCCTTGTGGAAGAGACTGATTCTCGCGTGGGGAGAATCTGAGTGTCCGACCTCAGAAAGGGGGAGAGCTTCTGGAGTCTGTTTCTTGAAGGAAGGGGTCTGTGTATCATTACTTTGGGGAGTCTGTACCTCTGACTCCCGGGGGGCAGGAGGGTCTTTGCATCTGCCCTCTGGGAGAGGAGTCTGGATGTGTGTCTTCTGGGGGCAGAGCGGGAGAAGACGGCTTTCCCCTCTGACCGCTGCTCTCCGCTCAGCCCTGGGCAGCTCTCCCACCTGCGGGCTGGGCTCAGCCTCGGGCCCCACCGGCCAGCTGCCTCCCGCAGGGGGCTCCGGCGCCCTGGACACGAGCGCCCCTGGCGGCGGCTGTGCGCTCTGCGGCTCCCCCAGATGCGTCGGGGGCTTTGGCTGCGGTGGTGCCTGCGGATATTGAACCTTCCTGCCCCGCTGTGGAGAAGTCAAAGAACCCTAGCTTCTGCCCCAAGGACTTGACCCTGTGTCTCAGATGCCTTCTCCCATGGAGCTAGCCTTCACCTCATCTTTCCTTCTTGCCTGCCCCCCACCCCGAAGCGTAAAGTCTTGGGATCTAGTTTCCTGGATGGTGGCTGCCCGAATTCCAAGGTGAAGATAGCCAGGATGCCGGGCCACTGGGGAGGCGCGTGGCTTACCTGGACCCAGCACGCTGCCCCTCTGACCTGCCTCCCACTCTCCACTCTTATTTTCCTGGGACTCCTCACTTGCAATAAAAGTTCTTCCGTGGACTGAGCCGGTGGGCTGTTTGTGCCTGGATTCCTCCAGCTAGGTACAGAGCCAAGAGGAAGTTGGCTGGATTTGGGGGTAGGGGAGATGGCTGGATTTGGGAGTAAGGGAGAAAAGGAGGGAACACTACCAGGAAGCAACCCTCCCCTTGTGAAGTGTAGGTCCACATGACCTCACTTTATGGTGATGTCACTGAACCAGGATCCTGAGGTTGAGGGGAGGGGTGGGTTGATAGAGGGCCCTTGGGGGAAGTGAAAGAAGGGGTTAATTTGTTCTCAGACCTGCCTATTCCGCAGCCTGGGGCCCACATTCCACCATGTCTTGTTGCTGAGCACTGCCTTCATTCATCTGCTCACTCGGTCTACAGACACTTACTGAATGGCCTTTGAAGGTCAGGGGCAGGACTGAGTGAGGCACTCTGGTCCTGGCCCTGCACAGGACATTCTGGTGGGGAGGCAGGCCAAAACCAGCCCCAAAGAGGGTGGAGGAGGTGGGGATGAGGGCGGGTCAACCTCCGCCGCCCTGGCAGGGGCACTTGAGGACAAGCCCCGGGGAAGATGGCCCTCGAAGACTGCGGTGGGGGGATATGAACATGAATGGGTGGTCCAGGCCCACGTTCTAGTTTAACAAATGACCTGATGGTGGGCTGGGAACAGCACCTCTCGGTGGAAGAGAGCATATATTTGGAATCAAATGGAGTTTCCAGCTCTGCCTCTACTTCCAGACCTATGGGGTGGTTTGTTCTGGGCTTTCACAAGGCAATTGGACTTTGAGGAGCAGAGGATAGACCAGTTTGTTGGGGGCGGGGGGGGGAGGTGGCCAGAGAAGGGCTGGATTTCTGGGCTCTTTCTTTGCCACACAGGCCCAAGAGAAGCTTCTACTTGGTGAGCTCACATTTTTTTCTATTGCACAAAGAGTTACATCATCAACACATGTGGGGAACAATGGTTCCTGCTTTCTATGTCCCTGGGTGGGGTGAAGGTGCGTCATTGGCCAGAGGCCCTGGCTTTACCTTTTAAGGTACAGTAGTGCCAGGCTGTCTGCTGTGTTCTCCTGGGTCCCTGCCCAGGAAACAGGTATCCAAAAGGCCCCCTTCCTGGGTAAACAGGACTGTCTCATGCAAGAGGAATGAGACCGAAACTTGGCATAAGGCTGCCACCCAGCAGGGGGGCAGGGGACATGGATGCACACTGGACGCACACAGTAGCCCTGTTTGGTCAATACTGACTGACACCAACTGTATAAACAAACATTCTTACCGACACTCACAGCGCAAAGCAGCTAAAAGCAGAGATTTTGCGGTTGGGCTCCACGTTCCCTGCATTTTGCTGGGAGGTAATGACATTCTGTGATTTTCAAGGTCAGGTTTCTCCAGCTCCCGCTGCACTGATCATGTCAAGGAAAGGACTTGGAGGGAAGTGCCCAGGGAAATGTCACCTAGGAGTCGTTGGCAGGGTTTATGGTGAGCACTCTGGGGCCCACACCACCCAGGACTGGCTGCTCACGTTTTCCCATTTTGAATCCCAAGCCTGACGTCAGTCTAGATCCCAAGGGCTGCTGGCTCAGGCTTGCGTGTCTTGGGTGGGCCACCAGCAATGTTTGTGGTTTGGGGACGGATTCTCTGAGTGGCTCCCTTGGCCACAAGCCACATTCCAGCCTGGGGAGGGAGAGAACTATGTGGTGCATTTAAGGAGAGTATTTCCAGCCTATTTATAAGCTTTGTTAGTCAAGGTGACTTCTGAAGGGAGGCGGGTGTCACCAGTTAAGACATCACTTCTCAGCAGAAGGGGACCACTAGGGAGTCAGCCTTCTTCTGCTGGCTCCCCCTGCCTGCCTCACACTTACGAGCACTTAAACGTGACAGATGTAACTTAGATGTTGGCATCTCTATATAAGCCCCTCAGAGCCAGTGACTGTCTTGTCCACCTATCTCCAGGGTCTGCCATGCAGTGGATATGAATGGGTGATGGGTGAATGGGTCGACTGAGGCTCTATGGTCCTCTGTGGTCAGCATTGGGTCACTCTTCCACTATTAACCTGTTTCACCCTATGGAGACCCCTTACGAGTCTCTGGATGAGTCTACACATGATCCTTCCGGATGCAATTCCAGCCACAAGATCTCAGCCAGGCCGGCCTGGAGTAAGGAAGGAAGGGTCTGGATTCCGTTCCCAATCTTGCTTTTGTCCTGGCCCCCACGGCCTGTTTCTGAGTCTCAGTCCCGCCCTTCCCAAATCTAACTAGTGAAGATTCATCCATCCCTTTTCATTTTCCTCCGTTCTGAAACTTTCTGCACCATGGTTTACCAGGAAAACAAGAATAGTACCTGTCACAGGGCTGTGTAGAAAAATATACTACTCTGTGTGAAGTCCTTAAAACATAGTAAGAGTTACATAAATGCAATTACTATCTTGTGTACTGGAGTCTTGGGAAAGGCTCTGAGCACCTTTATTTATTTATTTACTTCAAATATAATTTATTGTCAAATTGGCTTATATATAACTCCCCGTGCTCATCCCAATAAGTGCCCTTTAAAAGAAGGCTCTCCAAGTCTAAGACCAGCTGGTCTCCTGGCTGCCCCAGCTGGAGCTGGAGTGTGTACAGGGCAGGAGAGGAGTTAGGAGATCCCATGGGTTAGAGCTGGGGCTCCCTGGCCAGAGGTCACCTCCCCAGGATGACACCCAGCGGCACCAACCCTCACCACTCCTGCCTTAGCCCCATTCTCTGCTGCCTCTCCCCACCGGCACATGAGTCTGCCCGTGACCCACACTGCAGTCCTATCCACGTGTACCCACAGAGCGTCCTTCTTCACATGTACACACTGGCATATGCACATTCACAGGCACAATCACGTGTGTAGAAGCACTCTCAGTCACACACAGGGGCTTCCACACAAATGCCGGGAGATGTGCCTGTACCTGGATGCGGTCATATTGTTCTACTCACAGACAGCTGCCTAAAGACAGCTCTGCGGAATGAAGGTACAGACAGCAATGCACCCTGCACGGCTGCACGGCTTCTGGGCTCCCCACCTCCCTCCTCCCTCTGGCTCCTGGTCCTGTCCCACCTCTTCTGAAGCCTAATGGAGCTTGACATTGGTGACAGACCTCAGCAGCCACTAGTGAAAACACTGAGGCCCTGAGAAGGGAGGTGACTTGCCAAAGGTCACACAACGAGGTACTCCATTTTTGTCACCATTCTGCATCAGGAGTATTATGCGCTTGATGCATTCACTCTTGCTCCTCCTCTTGAGTAGGAGGGAATTTTCATTTTCAGGGAATGGAAACTGGAGGGAGACTGGGAGTGAGTAGGGGAGTAAGGCAGGTCATCAGGGCCCTGCCGGGCTAATGAGACCAGCGGGATGGGAAGGGAGGGGTCGGTTGGCAGAGATGGGAAGTTCATTGGGACTGCAGTCGACGGCGGGTAGTTTCTGAACTGGGGAGGGACAGAGTGATGGGGCTGGGGTTTGGGCTTCAGGTCTGGACTCTTGAGCTGGGAGCTGCGTGGTGGCATAGCGCAGAGGGTTGGTTAGAACAATTGCAGGCTCTGGAACTCTCTCAGGGTCCTGTCCTACTCAGAATTCCATCAGGAGGGGAGAGGGGCCATATTGGTGGGTGGGGGGCCTTGGATTGATCCTCTCCCTTAAAAAAGCCTGGTCTTTTCAGACCCCTAGCTTCTGGTCTCTCAATAATCTTATTTATTTCTATTGCCCCAAGGGATAGGAGTGGGCTTAGATTTCTGCTACAGTTTTCTGTGCCTGGAAATTTAGAGATTCGTCCTGCTGTACAGATGTATATTCAGGGAACTGCCTTTGCCATAGCAAGGCCGAGGGGCCATCTCCCCACTTTCTTTGCTACTTGTAAGAGCCCTGTCAGTGTCACGGGGGAAACAGTTCTCTACATGAAGGAGCTTAACGGGCCTGGAAGATGTGGAGATTTCTCTATTTGCTGTCTCCAATCACAGATATAAGTGTAATAAGAGGTAAATGTAATCAGTTTATTTATTTATTTATTGTTAAAAAATTTTAAAGATGTTTATTCACTTTTTTAATTAAACAACTTTTTTTAAATGTTTATTATTGAGAGAGAGGGAGAGAGAGCGCACGCAAGCTGGGGAGGGGCAGAGAGAGAGGGAGACACAGAATTTGAAGCAGGCTCCAGGCTCTGCACTGTCAGCACAGAGCCCGACATGAGGCTTGAACCCACGAACTGTGAGATCATGACCAGAGCTGAAGTCAGATGCTTAATTGACTGAGCCACCCAGGCGCCCCTGTAATCATTTACAGATGTGCACAGGAGGCTGGCCATATCCTTGCTTCCTGGATGGATTTCCACTTTATATTCTGCAAAAGAATACAGCTAATGACAAGCGCATGTCATGATTACTTTGGGGCGGGCACCGTCTACACATGTTACATGTATGGAATTCCTAGTCCTCCCATCTACCTATGAGGTAGGTGCTCTTTGATCTTTCTCCCTTTAGAGATGTGGAAACTGAGGCACAATGAAGCTAAGTAAATTGCCCAAGCTCACTCAGACAGGAAGGAACAGAGCCCAGTTTTGGACCTAAGTCATCTGGCTTCAGAGTCTATGTCCTTCAACTCTGTGACACCTCATCATCTTGCTACGCACTGCTTTCTACCTTGGAGGTAATTTATCAGCTATGGCAGGTCTCCAAACCTCAAAAGGACTCCATCCAAAAAAAAAAAAAAAAAAAAAGTAGCCACATCAAAGGCTTTTTGAAAGTTTAAGTCATGTTCATATGGTTACCCTTTAAGGAATTCTAATAAATTGCTCAGGCATGAGTCTTCCCCAGTAAAGCAATGAGTGATGTTTCCTTAGGTTTTGAGTGGCTGCTGAATCTAATTTTCGTTTTCCATCAGTTGACAGATATGCACAGGGATGTTTTCTGTGCGGCAACAGCGTGTCTGTGAAATGACCACTAAAGGTACACACAGGGATCAAACACTAGCTGGACCACGGAAGCTTCTGAGGCCCTGTCCGGGTTATGGAGCATCTCTGGGCTCTGGCTTCTTCGTCTGCAAGATACTCTGAGGCGGGTCTGGCTAATTTTAAGCACACATTTCATCACACATTAAAGTTGTGTGAATAGGGGCGCCTGGGTGGCTTAGTCGGTTAAGCGTCCGACTTTCGCTTAGGTCATGATCTCGCGGTTTGTGGGTTCGGGCCCCGCGTCGGGCTCTGTGCTGCCTGCCAGCTCAGAGCCTGGAGACTGTTTCAGAGTCTGTCACTCCCTCTCTCTCTGACCCTCCCCTGCTCACGCTGTCTCTCTCTCTCTCTCCTAGAAATAAATAAAACATTAAAAAAATAATAAAGTTGTGTGAATAAAACTACTTGGTGTAGAGGCCTAGCACCATGCTTGGCTCAAGCTGAGACTGCTCCGAGCTCAGGGACAGAGCACTGTGCTGTAGACCCCAGAGTAGACCTCCTTCTATTCCACATGACTTTGGGGACTCCCCCAAACCCTGACCCTTGAGGACACCAGAGGTGCAGACAAGGCTCAGCGTTGGCTACATTGATTTATTGGAAACACAGATCAAGACAGATGAACATGGCAGAGGTGGGAGGGGAGTGGTTAGGGGGTAAGATATGGCCATCAGCCCCGTGACAGCCTAGGGTAGGCCCTGGTCCTGGTCCTCTGGGCCCCTGAGCCCCCTTCGTAGGGTCATCAAGGGGACTTCTTCTTAGGGGTAGCCTTTCCCGGCATGGGCAGCAGAGCCAAGGAAGAGGGCATCACACATAGACAGGAGAGGCCTGGAGTGGGACAGACCTTTCAAAGTGCCAGAGAAGTCGTTGGGAGCTTGCTCCATGGGGAGGCTGCGTGAGAGCGACCCCAGGCCCGAGGCTTGAGTTCAGTTGCCTAACACTTGCGGCAGCTGCTGGCGCAGGAGCCCACGCCGCAGGAGCTGATGCCGCAGGAGCCCAGGCCGCAAGATGTGACGGAGTTGCAGGGGCCGCAGGGCGCACACATTCCGGTGCTCACTGCCAGGTTCCCACTGCAGGGAGCGCTGCACACGCTGCCGGTCACGGGCCGGGAGCCGGACACGCAGAGGTCCCCGCAGACGACCCCGCCCCGGGAGCTGCTGACGCCTGTGAAACCCAAAGTCTCAGTCAGAATTCTAGGGGTGAGCCATCAGCCTCCTTGCAGGGGCCCATCCCCAGGCCCTGAGCCCTGTGTATTAAAATCAGGAGAATCTTTACTTACAACACTAGACCCAAAGCTGTGGTCTTTCCTGGCTCTGACCCCAAATCCCTCCTGACGTGATGCCAGCCCACTTTATTATATTTAGCTTTCAGTTGAATCCCACCCACCAGAGTCCACTACCCCTTACAGGAAGAGAATAAATCCATCTACACAGAGGCTGAGTTACTCACAGACATTCACGGCCCCAATGCCTTCACATAGTCTAGAAGGAAGAAGAAAAAGGCAACATGAGTGATTCATCCAGAGCTCCCCAAATCCTTGGGGTAGGGTCCACAAGTGGTCAGGGTAGGGTCCCAAACCACCTCCTCCCCCAAAATGATGATTAGAGATGTTCCTAGACCCTTGGCCATGGCTGAAACAGAAGAAAGGATAGGGTTTATTCACGGGGCAGGAAGAGGCAGCTGAGAGCCAGGCTAGGCTGGGTCCTACCTCTGTTCTTCACCCTCCAGCAGCCGCCTGTAGGTGGCGATCTCGATGTCCAGGCCCAGCTTGGAGTTCATCACCTCCTGGTACTCCTTGACCAGGCAGGCCATGTCCTGCTTGGCCTTCTGCAGGGCGGCCTCCAGCTCGGCCAGCTTGCAGCGGGCGTCGCTCAGGGCCGCCTCACCCTGCTGCTCTGACTGGGTCACTGCCGTCTCCAGCTTGGTGTTCTGGGGCCCAGGAGAGAACAGAGTGGGTTATGGTCCTGGGTCTCTCAGTCCATTTCCTGGGGATGTCCAGTCTCTCCCCTCCCCCAGATGGGAACACCCCAAGAACAGGTGTCTCCCCTTCATTAACCGAGTCCCCCTGAGGGACCACAACCAGGGACACTTGCCATGCAAGGAAGCTGGATCATGAATGGTGAGACCCATCTGGGGCACTCACTGCCTGTGTGGCCCTGGGGAGGCCCCAGGAGACCCATACCTGGCACTTGGCATTCTCGACCTCGGCGGTCAGCCTCTGGATCATGCGGTTCAGCTCGTTGATCTCCTCCTTGGTGCGGCGCAGGGTCTCCCCGTGCCGGATCACTGTGGCCTTCATCTCCTCGCACTGGGAACAAGCAGAGATGCTCCTGAGGCTCAGGATGGAGTTTCCTCCCATTCGGACCCCACAGATGGTTGGGAGGTTGTACAGAGCTCAGCCTGTGCAACCATACAGGGCAGCCCTGCCCAGACACTAGAACCTGAGAGTTGTGTGCCCTTCTGTTACCATCACTAGGGCCAGAAGCCCCAGACAGAAGAGGCCTTGTTAATATATACCTGGCTTCCCTCCCACTGTCATGCCTAGAGGCAGGTGTCCTGTGCCCCTCACCTTGCTGCGGTACCAGGACTCGGCCTCAGCCCGGCTGCGGGTGGCGATGTCGTCGTACTGAGCCTTGATCTCGGCCACAATGCTATCCATGTTGAGGTCCCGGCTGTTGTCCATCTTGACGATGACCGAGGTGTCGGAGATGTGGGCGTGGAGAACGCGGATCTCCTGCAGATGGTGGGAGACCTTGCTTACATCCCAGCCTCACACACCACAGTGTGGACCCAATCTTCTTGACCTTCAGCCCTTCCCTGGTCTCTGCCCCAGCTCCCACGACAGACTCGTGGAACGTAGCCTCCGGGCCACCCCAAATCCCCGGCCAACCCAGTGCCAAGCCAAAGCCTCCTCTTTCAGGCTGGCAGCTGCTTTCCACCTGGACCACGGCCCCTCACCTCCTCATACAGGCGCCGCAGGAAGCTGATCTCCTCTATCAGGGCCTCCGCGTTGGCCTCCAGGTCTGACTTGCGGAGGTAGGCGCAGTCCACGTCCTGGAGAGATGGGGTGCCTTTCGAGTTCAGAAGACCCCCGGTGGTCGACACCCCAAGCCCCACTCTCTTCTCTCCCATTAACAGAGGTCAAGGGAAAGGACTAGAGCTGTTCTGATTCCCACGCCATCCTCATACTTTCTGACCTGCCTGGGATGGGCTTTGCAGCCTCCTGCCCTTCTGAGAACAAACTCCTTTGTGCGCGAAATGGGCCACCTGCCTTTCTCTCCTCTTGTGATGCCAGCTCTCCTTCTTACCCTCCCTATCCCAGCAAGCCTGCCACACTGACCCGTCCCTGTTCCCCGGCAGTCCTCCAAGACTCCACCTGGTCACCCCAGGTTCGGCTCCGTCCTCCCCAACACCCTGGGACTGGGCCCCTCCTGTTGGTCAGATCCTACAATGCTAGACATGACACTGACCCTCAACAGAGAGACTGGAGCTGCCCTGCCTCCACGGGGTCCCAGCCAGAGCCCCACAACTTCTGAAGCACAGCAGGACATCCCCGCCCCAGGGCAGGGTGCTAGTGCACCGTCCAACGACCTGATTGAGCCTTCCAGGACCTGACCCCTGGGATTTCCCAGCCCGATCTGGCCAGGCCATGTACCCCACGCTGAGGCCGAGACCCAACGGGTCTCCCCAGGAAGAGTCGGTCGTTCTGGCATCCCTGGGGTCTGTGCTTCCGGATCCCATGTTACTCACCTTCTTCAGAGCCACAAATTCATTCTCGGCTGTTGCTCTCAGAGAAACTTCCTCCTCATACCTGAGGCAGAAGGAGGCAGAGGGGGAGGTCAGGGAAGGGGGTGTCTCCCCAGAGGCCACCTCCTCTTCACATCAGCGGAGGGGGAAATATGAGTGAGCTCCCAGCAGCTAGAACCCGGCAACTCTACTAGCTCCGTTCTGTCTGGTTGGATCTGGAATGTGTCTTGGATCCTCTCTCGACTTTAAGTTGAGGGGTCCAGAGAGCTAATGTCTGGGACCTCACAGTTCCCACAGCTGCCGTGAGGTCACCTTAGGAGGCAAATGGGGACTCAACACCCAGCCGCATGCTAGGAGTGGACAGCGGCACCTCTGGGGCACGGCAGTCCCAGCCTCCCCTCATCTGGGTGTCCATCCTAGCTCAGGCATGGGGGCCCGTGTCACCCATCCACCATCGGCACTCAGCACCCCAGGCAGTGGGACACCTGGGGCCCCAGGGCCTGTCAGCCCCGACTGGCCAGACGCTCAGGTGCTACAGGTGGGCACTGAGAGGTCAGCAGGAGGAAGCCAGGAACCTGCAGAAGCCTCCTCCCCACAGGCCCCGGGGACAGCCTCCAAGAAGGGAAGGCTGAAGTAGGGGAGAGAGAGGTGTCCCGGGGGACTCCCGGCCCCACCCTGAGGCAGGCATCTGGGCCACAGTGGTGCAGATGAGAAGACCCTGTGGCACAAGTCCCCAGAGTGCATGGCTGCTCGCCCTTCTGGAAAATTCTTTTCCAGTCTAATCCAATGGGCGCTAAGCCAAGTCCATCTCCTGTGCCCAGCAACACTCGCGGCCGCACTCACTTCTTCTTGTAGCCCTCCAGCACCTCCTGCACGTGGTTGAGCTCGGAGGCCAGCCTCCCGCTGTCGGCCTCCACGCACTCGGCCTCCCGCCTCAGCGTCTCGATGTAGCCCTCGAACAGCGGCTCCAGGTTGCTCTCGCAGCACTTGCGGTTCTGGTAGAACTGCCACTTGGTCTCCAGAAGCTTGTTCTGCTGCTCCAGGAAGCGCACCTGCATTCAGGGTGGGAGGAGGGGTCAGATGGCTCCTGGTGTCCCAAAGCCCATTTGGGGTGAGGCTGGGGTGCTTGCTTTAGGGCAAACTCCCAAAGCTGCAGCTCAGCAGGGATTGGTGGGGATGGGCAGTAGCAGACAAGGCGACTTCCCGATTCCCCTACCGCGGTCTCTGTGTGGGTGCTCTGACCCAGGGATGGGAGGAAGGGGCTGGGCAAGGGCAGGCTCTGCTCTCAGGTAAACTGAGTTATCCAGACCCGATGAGTCCAGGTGGCAGGTGCATTCTGGAGCCAGGGAGAGGTCTCTGCTTGGCCTCTCACTCCCCCCACCTCAGTGCTAGCCTGAGTGTGGAGCATGGGTGGGGTACAGGAAGGGTGTGGTCAAGGACAGCCACCCACTGGATGACCCTGTGGTCCCCTTCCTGTTTCTTATGTCCATTTTTGTGTCTGCGTGTGCGCTGCCCTCTTCCCTGGACATGCCCGTTGCAAGCCTGTCCTTGTCCCTCTGTGGGGACCTGCCTGTCTGGACCGAGGTTGCACAGAATGGAAACATTGTCAAATCAGGAGCCTCTGCTCTATACTCGGTCCTTGGTCGTTCCGTGCCCTGGGTGTGTATCCATTTCATCCATCAGACCGGGAGCTCGCTTGCGGCCACATGGCTCCTGCCCCTGAGGGTCTTGAGTGCCTAGCCAAGGAACCGAAGGCTCAGGAAGGGTGTGATCAAGGACACCCACCTTGTCGATGAAGGCAGCGAACCTGCTGTTGAGACACTTGATCTGCTCCTTCTCATCGTGCTTCACGCACTGCGCGTTGGGGTCGATCTCCAGGTTGAGGGGCGTGAGGAGGCTCTCGTTGACCGACACAATGGTGATGCAGGGCGGGCTGGGCCCGCACACGCCGCCGGAGCAGTAGCCGAAGCTGCGGCCACAAGAGCCGGCGCGGAAGCCGCCGCACACGCTGCGGCTGCCGAAGCCGGTGAGGCCGCGGTAGCAGGAGACGCCGCGGTAGGGGGCGGCGGTGATGCAGCAGCGGCCGGGCCGGGGCCCGCAGGCCGAGGCGCAGCTGAAGGCGCGGCCGCAGAATCCAGATCCGCAAGTCATG